GCTATGGCCTGGGAAAGCAGAAGATGGCCCGAGTCCTTGGACCCCTGCATCCATGTGGGAGAGCCGGAAGAAGCTCCTGGCTCCTGGCTCCCGATCGGCTTAGCTCAGGCCAATGCAGCCAACTGGGGAGTGAACCAGCAGACATTAGACCTCTATCTCTGTGTGTAACTCTTGACTTTCAAGTAAATAAATAAATCTTAAAAAAAAAAGAAATAAAATCATATGCCTATCAAATGCCTTATACAAACATTTTTACAGTAACTTTATTTACAATAATCAAAATCTGGAAACAATTCAGTTGTCACTCAACAAAAGGATAAATTGGGTGTCTATTCATACAATGGAATATTTCCCATCAATAAAAAGGAATGAACTGATACTTGCAACATGTCAACCACAAATCTATTATGTTGAATGAAAAAAAATCAATGCACACTGTATGCTCCCACTTACCTGAAATATTTAAATATGAAAAACTAACCTGTAGTATTAGAGATCATACCAAAGGTTATTGGTGGTGGAGGTTACAGGGAAGGGGAACAGGGATTTTTCTGAAGGTAATGAAAATGTTCTATATTTCGACAAGCATTTTTCTTTTCTTTTTCTTTCTTTCTTTCTTTTTTTTTTTTTTTTTTTTTGACAGGCAGAGTAGACAGTGAGAGAGAGAGCCAGAGAGAAAGGTCTTCCTTTGCCATTGGTCCACCTTCCAATGGCCACCGCGGCCGGCGTGCTGTGGCCGGCGCACCGCGCTGATCCGATGGCAGGAACCAGGTACTTATCCTGGTCTCCCATGGGGTGCAGGGCCCAAACCCCTGGGGTCAGTCTCCACTGCACTCCCTGGCCACAGCAGAGAGCTGGCCTGGAAGAGGGGCAAGCGGGACAGAATCCGGCACCCCGACTGGGACTAGAACCGGGTGTGCCAGCGCCGCAAGGCGGAGGATTAGCCTAGTGAGCCGCGGTGCCGGCCGACAAGCATTTTTCTAAATGGATTGAAGAGTTTCCTTAAGATATGAGGACTTCAGTTTATGTAAATTTTACCTTAAAACATATGGCTTGGGGCCAGCGCCGAGGCTCACTTGGTTAATCCTCTGCCTGAGGCGCCGGCATCCCATATGGGCATCGGGTTCTCATCCCGGCTGCTCCTCTTCCAGTCCAGCTCTCTGCTGTGGCCCGGGAGTGCAGTGGAGGATGGCCCAAGTGCTTGGGTCCTGCACCCACATGGGAGACCAGGAGGAAGCACCTGGCTCCTGATTGGCATAGCTCTGGACGTAGCGGCCATTTGGGGGGTGAACCAATGGAAGGAAGACCTTTCTGTCTCTCTCACTGTCTATATGTCAAATAAATAAATAAAATAAAAAACATATGGCTCAGGAGCTGGTACGTTGATGTAGCAGGTTAAGCCACCGCCTGCAGCGCTGAGTATCCCACATGGGCACCGGTTCAGGTCCTGGCTGCTCTACTTCAAATCCAGCTCCCTACAAATGAGCCTGGGAAAGCAGCAGCAGAGGGCCCAAAGTGCTTGGGTCCCTGCACCCGCATGGGAGACCCGGAAGAAGCTCCTGGTTCCTGGCTTTGGATGCGACCAGCTCCAGCTGATTTGGCCATTTGGGGAGTGAACCAGTGGATGGACGACCTCTCTCTGTAACTCATCTTTCAAATAAATAAATATTTTTTAAAAAGAAAAATATCTGGGAAGTTTGCGCTTGGTAATAGGAAGAGAAGTAGGCAGTGGAAAGGAAAAGAAAGACGTTAAAAATAACATTAAGGTTTGATAGACTCAGGATGGGAACTATTAAGACAGATGATTATAATTAAACTCAATATTCAATGCACAGTTCATCTAAGTTGAATATTCCTTTCTAAAGTTTCTAGGATATTTCAAATGGTTCTTACTAGTTTTTTTTTTTTTTAATATTTTATTTATTTAAAAGGCAGAGTTACAGAGAGGCAGAGAGAGGTCTTCCATCTGCTGATTCATTCCCCAGATGGCCACAATGGCCACAGCTGGGCCCCTCCGAAGCCAGGAACCTCTTCCAGGTCTCCTATGTGGGTGCAGGGGCCCAAGGACTTGGGCCATCTTCTGCTGCTTTCCTAGGCCATAAAAGAAAGCTGGATCAGAGGTGGAGCAGCTGGGACTTGAACCGGCAGCTGGATGGGATGCCAGCACTACAGGTGGAGGCTTTACCCACTATGCCACAGTGCCGACCCCCTTACTACTTCTTAAATGAATGCTTGTTAGTATTATTTTTTAGTATATGTTCATCAGCTCTTTAGGCACAAAGAGTTTACAATCTTTCACTCTGTAAGTGCATAAAGTACACCCATATATCTCATTTCCTTTGATCCTCAACACCCTGAGAGTAGGTATAATCATTTGTCTTACAGGTTAGAAAAACTAGATTGTGGCATAGCAGGTTAAGCTGCCATTTGTTTCCAGCATCCCATGTGGGCACTGGCTGGTGTCCTGGTAGTTCCATTTCTGATCCAGCTCCTTGCTAATGCTCCTGGGAAAGCAGTGGAAGATGGCTTAAGTCCTTGGACCCCTGAACTCACGTGGGAGACCCCAGAAGAGGCTCCAGGATCCTGACTGGCCCAGCTCCAGCCATTGCGGCCATTTGATGAGAGAACCAGTGGAGGAAGATTTCTCTCTCTGCCTCTGCCTCTCTGTAATGCAGAGAAAGGCAGTTACAGAAAGAGGTAGAAACAGAGAGGTCTTCCATCTACTGGTTCACTCCCCAGATGGCCGCAACGGCTGGAGTTGCACCAATCCAAAGCCAGGAGCCAGGATCTTCTTCTGGGTCTTCTATGTGGGTACAAGGGCCCAAGGACTTGGGCCATCTTCTGTTATCCCAGGCCATAGCAGAGAGCTGGATCAGAAGAGGAGTAGCTGGGACAAGAACCGGCGCCCATATGGGATGCCGTTACTTCAGGCCAGGGCTTTAACCTGCTGCACCACAGCGCCGGCCCCAATGCTGCCTTTCAAATAAGATAATAAAAAATCCTGACAAGTACATAGATAGGGTGAATGTCAAGGCCAATTCTGGTTTTGCCATTTTACAGATAGCCAGCACTAATTGGAGTCACTTGTCTGGTTTTGATTTAACTGCTGCCTAGGAGGACATAATAGTTCTTTTTGGCTTAAGCCATTCTGGGACAGCACCTAGAACTCAGCAGTCAAACCTCCCCAACTCAGCCAGCAGCTGCTACACATTGAGGAAGGGGCAGAAAGGATGCTGAAGAAGTCACTACAATGAACACCAGGAAATCTCCTGCTTCCAACAGTTTTGTTCACGTTGGTCCCTCCTATGTTAACTTCCTTGGCAGCAGGGCTATGTTTGTTTTCTTTGCATCTTTCTATTCCTCTAAAGCTCCTAGCTTAGTGGCATTAATTTAATATCTGTTAAACAATGATAAAAACCCTAGATGTAATCAAAGCTTAAGGAGAATAAACCAAGAGCAAGAATAAGGCAAGCTAAGATAACAAAGCTAACAATCGCCTTTACACACTTTCATTCAGTCCTTCATTCATTAAACAATGATTTGTCAGTCGTTTACCAATCATTACAGCCTAATGGGTTTAGATTTTAAGATAAAAATTTTGAGCAATACTTTTATTATGTATAATAATCACATAAACACCTAGATAATTAACATGAAGGCATGAAGGAAAAGTTCAGGGTCCTGTGAGCACTTATAACAGGTGTCAAAAGGCAAAATTACAAGTTAAGATCTTAATTAGCTTTTCTTCAGGATTTTCAGGCAGTTTCTCTGGTGGGTTCAACAACTGTGGATTGCAACTGGGTCAGACACCACTCCTGGGCAAAACACCCAAGTGTTGTAGAGAGACATCCTGACTGACTACGGATCAGTCTGTGACCTGTGATTGACTGCAGCTCAGAAGACCCAGCTAGTTAATGCAAACACATACTAAGCACAGACTCAAAGTAAGGAGGCGCCCTCCGGCCTACAAGTAGCTTAACACAGGATCGGAACCCAAATGGGGGATGTGGATGGAACCAAGTTTTTAGAAAGAAGTGGCAATCGGATGTAGAAGATGAACAGGAGTTAGAGAAGCTAAGAAAAAGACTGGGAATTACTCTCGGCCGCAGGACCAACATTTAGCTGTCTGAAAACTTGGTGGGAGGTGGAGGGGAGGTTTGCTGGATGCAGGGACTGGAAGATGTGCAGCCAGTGGGCTCCGAGGGGGTGTAGGTGGAGGCAGCAGGTAGGAGCGGATGAGACAGGGCCTTGTACATCACACGGTCTTAAAAGTCCTCTCGTGGGTGAGTTCGCGGCCTCTTCAAGGAATCGGAGCCGGGGGCCGGCCCGGCGGGTCTCTGGCCAGCTGGACTCAGCATCTTCTCTCATCCTTCATCAGCACATTAGGGTGCCACTCTGCCTTGGCATCTCCTTCTTCGCTGGGTCTCACATTTCCCTGACCCCTCCACTTTTTATCAAGGCCCTTCTTCACTTCTTCCCCAGCGCCACCAACCCCCGCCCCGCAAGGCTGCAGTCCGTGACATTCAGGCGCCCTTCAAAGTCGTCAGGAATCAGCCAGGTGAGCCCTCGGACATTAGCAATTGAGAGGTCTCACCCAGGCCGCGCCAACGCCCATATTTAAATTGTTCCGCCACAACTAGCCTGGGGGATGGTTTATTTGCTGCCGCTGCTCCGTCTCCAGCCACCATGTGAAGGGCGCCGCGTGAATCTGCCCGAAGGTTCCCGTCACGAGTCCCGGCCACCTCTTCAGGTCGGGCCCTCCGCCAGGTCCGCTGGTAACGCTGCGATCTCTACGGCGCTTCGGGGAGTGGGCACGGACCCCCGCGAGGGGCAGGGAAGAGGCGATGCGGCGCCGAGCAGGGCCAGGCCGCGGGACCGGACGCCGGAAGCGTGCGGGGAGCCGGCTGGCGCGGGAGCGGGCGGGCGGAAGGCGCGGGCGGAAGGCGGCCTCGCGGGTGGGCAGGGGGCGCCGCGAGGGGCGGGGCGGTGGCGCGCCGGGGGCGGGGCTCCCGCGCCGGTCACGTGAGGGGCCCGGCGGTAGCGGCGGCGGCGGCCGCGGCGTTTTCAGCGGCGCCCAGTGCAGGATGGTGCTGGAGGCGGCGGCGGCCGTGGTGGCTGCGGCGTCGTTGGCGGTAGCGGGAAGGGGTGCGGTGGCGGCAGTGGCGGCGGAGCCCGCGGGTGGTATAAAATGGCGGATTTCGAGGAGTTGAGGGTAAGCAGGGCCGCGGGAGTGGAGAGTGGAGGCCGCGGGGGAGGGGTTGGGGAGGGAGGCGGGGAAGCCGCAGCGTCGCCGGCCGCCGCCTTCTTGTTTCGCCGGGGCCGGTTGGCGGCGCCCCGAGCCCGGCCCGCGTGAGGGCGGGCGCCGAGCGCGCGGGAGGGGAGCGAGCCGGTGGAGGACGCGGGGGCGGCGGCCTGGGCCGCGGGCGGGCGGTCGTTCGAGGGCCGGCCGCTGCGGGCCGGCTCTCCGCACACCTGGCGCGGGGTCGGGGCGCCCTCGCGGGGGCACGTGGGGTCCGACTCCCCGCTCCGCCTGAGGGCCCAGGTGGTGAACGGCGTGTGATTTTCCACCCTGGGGTGGGGGGTGGGGGGTCCGTGTGCGTGGCGATCCCGAAGTCTACTTGGCGGACGCCTGTTTGGTGAGACGTGAAGTTGCGTTTCGGGAATTTTTCTCTTCCTTCCCTGATGGCTGATGCTACCGTTTGGTCAGGTGTGCCAGGGAAGGGGCCCCTTCCTCCCTCCACTGCTTCCCCCCGTCGTCGGGAGAAGCGTGGGCCTTTGGCAACCCTGCCTGCAACAACCGGCCTTGAACCTTGGTATTTCCTTAGTGCCGTGGAAAGAAAACTGCAAAGTCCGAGGTGACATGAGGTTTTTCCGTGCACTCTTTCTGCTCTTGAAGAGAAAAAAAAATCTTGTCGTCTTAGCCTTGGAACAAGGTCATAACTTTACTGTTGCTACCGTTGTTGAATAGAAGAGATTTAAGTTGAGGTGCCATGGGGGAGAACGGACAAGACCCCCACCCCCGCCGAGACTGATAACCTTCGGAGACTCCGCACCTGAAACAGACCAGGTGTGATCCATGAGCCCGCTTTATTTTATATGGATCACTGAATTACTAGCGACATAAATAGGAAATTTAGAGTCAGAAATGCCGATTTTTTAAAAAATTTCAAAGTAGGAGAGAGTGGTGAGCGTGGAATTAACGGCAAGCAGTTTGCGTAACAGACGAATGTTAGGTTGGTTGGTTCGGATACGGAGGAGCAGCGATCCAGTAGAGGATTGAGTTTGAGGTAGGGTAAGGTTGTTGGTAGCTGATGGAGAGGACCAGAGGGAAAGAGGTGTGTTTTCCACTAAAGGAGCTTGTTGTAGGTTGCACAATGTAACTGTTGTTTTCCCTCCTGTTTTTAAAAGAATTGTTTATTTTCCAGGAAGAGAAAAGTATGTTTGTACATGTTACACCCCATACTAATTTATACAGAGAGCCATGGTAGACAGGGTAAGGGTGTTGATGTTTAAGGCTAAGGGCTGTAGTAGCGCAGGTCCAGCTGTAGAGCTATTAACACCTGTGGAGCTTTTGAAACAACCAGGCCAGACACCTTGAGCCTTGAGTTTAGGATGGGTTGATAAAACTGAACGTTGAAGTTCAATTTGTTTTTATTTTTACCTGCAGCATAGTCTTAATTTTTGTTGTGGTAAAAGATGTAACTCTTCCCGGTCTTTTGTTGATGAAAACTTTTCCAAATGTGTTTTAGGCTTTTCTAACTGTTGTCAGTCAAAACTGAATATGAAGTGGAGAACTTACTGGTACATATCTGGCAGAAGGGGCAGTCGGTGCTGAGGTTCAAGTGGGACCAGAAACTGTAAAGTAGTGCAAACCAGAGAAATGGTTTTTTGTTTTGTTTTGTTTTGCTGCTGCTGCTGCTGTTTTTTTCTCTTTCTGCCTCCCTCTTCCATTTTGGTTTGTGGATTACCTTCATCAAATGTTTGTAAATCAGCTGTGTGTTTCTCCTTGAACTTGATAGAAGACACATGACTCCCCTACAGTTCACATTAGGTGACCTACCTAATTGAGAAGTTTTCAGAGGAGATGCTAGAAAGGTTATCTACTCCTTGCCTTTGTTGCTCAGTGCAGGCCTATGTTACTTGCATTTTTTAAAATATGAGCTGTACCCTGCTCCCCCAATACAAATGGTGGTGGTGATGATGATATATGTCCATTATAATACAGTGCTTATTACATGCCTGGTTTGGTTTGAGCACATCATACATACATTCTTAAAATTCTATGAAGAAATTGAGGCACTGAGATATTATGGATTGAGCAGAATTTAACTTCCCAACTCACCAATATATTTAATCCCCAAAGTCTTAACGCTTATGTTTAATGGGTTAATGTTAATGGTTGAACTTGATGTGTAGAATGTGGACCCAGTAGGGGGTCTTTAGGTCAAATTGGGGACAAAGCCCCCAAAAGGCAGTTCTCTTGAAGGTTGATTTTTTTTTTTTTTTTTTTTTTGACAGGCAGAGTTAGGCAGTGAGAGACAGAGAGAAAGGTCTTCCTTCCGTTGGTCCCCCCCCAAAATGGCTGCTATGGCCTGCGCACTGCACCACTCCAAAGCAAGGAGCCAGATGCCCCCTCTTGGTCTCCCATGCGGGTGCAGGGCCCAAGCACTTGGGCCATCCTCCACTGCCTTCCCGGGTCACAACAGAGAGCTGGACTGGAAGAGGAGCAACCAGGACTAGAACCCAGAGTACCGTCGCTGCAGGCGGAGGATTAGCCTAGTCAGCTGCGGCGCCGGCCTGAAGGTTGATTTCTATAAGCCAAGTTCTGCCTAGCCTTTTCTCTGCTTCCTGACTACCCTGGGAACCTCCCTCTGCATGTGTTCTTTGTTGCCATCCTCCAATCTCACCAGATGCCTAAACTAACACCGCTGCCTGATCTTGAACTGGGAACCTCCAAAACTGTAAGCTGAACTTAACCTTCTTTCCTAAGTAGCTTCTCAGTTATTTTAGTTTAAGTTAGGAAGAGCAGACTGCTACAGAGGATTAAATAACCTTATTTAGACCAAACAATTTTTTTTTAAAGATTTATTTATTTATTTGAAAGGCAGAGTTTCGCAGAGAGAGAGGTCTTCTGGTTCACTCCCCAGATGGCCGCAACAGCTGGAGCTGTGCCGATCAGGAGCCAGGAGCCTCTTCCAGGTCTCCCACAAAGGTGCAGGGGCCAAGGGCTTGGGCCATCTTCTGCTTTCCCAGGCCATGGCAGAGAGCTGGATTGGAAGAAGAGCAACCAGGACTAGAACTGGCACCCATATGGGATGCTGGTGCTTCAGGCCAGGGCGTTAACTCACTGTGCCACAGCACCGGCCAGACCATACAATTTGAGACTGAAAAAAACTGGGATTTTTAACTTCAGATGGGTAACTTTAGAGTCTGCTTTTCAGAGCCCAAACTATGTTGTTTTGTTTGGATACTTTCAGGTCTGGCTCTGGCCTTTATCCTAAAATTTTGTAGACTTAGTTAAATGATAACACTTTTTTTTTTTAAGATTTATTTATTGTATTTGAAAGAGTTACACAAAAGGGGAGAGAGACAGACAGACTTCCATCTGCTGGTTCACTCCCCAATTGGCCGCAACTGCCGGAGCTGTGTTGATCCGAAGCCAGGAGCTTCTTCTGGGTCTCCCACGCGGGTGCAGGGGCCCAAGGACTTGGGCCATATTTTGCTGCTTTCCCAGGCCAAAAAAAGCAGAGAACTGGATCTGAAGTGGAGCAGCCAGGACAGGAACTGGCACCCTTATAGGATGCTGGCACTATAGGCAGCGGTTTCACCCCCTATGCCACCGCGCTGGCCCCAATAACACTCTTCTTAAATGACTAATAGTGGAAGGGAAATGGAGAAACTCACTAAAGATTGGTTAGAAAGGAAGAAGATGGGAAGAAACATCCAGGACTCAAATGATGGTGCTTGGTTAAGGATATATTCTGATGGTCAGTTGGTAGTTGAGTTATTGGACCACGGTGTTTCTTGGGTAACTTTTTGGCAGTAGAGGAAATGGGTAGCCAACCTGGATGACACACTTGTTGCTGCTGATACTGCCACTGGGAGGCTTTCCCTTACCCTCTAGAGCCCTTCTTTTGAGCAGGTCACATCTGGCTGGTGCTGACTCTGTGCCCAAGATCAGAAATTTGGGCAGAGGTCATCCTCTTTGGTATAGTGCCTTTTGCTTTTTATGCTCTTAATAAGAGAATTCCTATAAAACCTTAGGGGGTTGCCTCACAGTTTCATTTGTTGAGACTGCCTTGTAAGCTAGCGTCAGAGATTTTGTCTGGTCATAGCAGAATACACCAGCTCTTTTCTTTGCTGCCTTTTGGTCCAAGTAACTAGAATACGAGCCCACCTCTCTTCTGCTTCTGGGAGACAGAATCTGGCTGTCAGAGCTGTCCACTTTTGTTCTAATCATCCGCAGCCTGGGGGTTAGAATCATATCACATAAACCTGACTCAGGAGATGATCCTGATAGTGTGAGAGAAAGGAAGACGAAGTTCTCTGAGAATGGAAAATGTGGTCTGTGTAGTCCATTATAATAATGTATCCTGGGGCCTGCGTTGTGGTTTAGCAGGTAAAGCCACCGCCTGCAGTGCTGACATCCCATATGGGTGCCGGTTCGAGTCCCTAATGCTCCACTTCAGATCCAACTCTGCTGTGGCCTGGGAAAGCAGTACAAGATGGCCCAGGTCCTTAGGCTCCCTTACCCACGTGGGAGACCAGGAAGAAGCTCCTGGCCCCCTGGCTTCGGATCTGTGCAGCTCAGGCCGTTGCAGCCATTTGGAAAGTACACCAGCGGATGGAAGACTTTCTGCCTCTCTGTAACTCTGCCTTTCAAATTCAAATTAAATAAATAAATAAATCTTTAAAAAAAATAATGTATCATGCTGGAAGCTCCCAGGTGCCAGAGAAAGTATTGGTTTTACTAATTGCTTGCTTATAGCATCTAGGTTGTTAGGAGTTGAAGGGATGATTAACTAGTTTGTGAATTGACAGGTTTGTGGATTAACTAGTTGTTAAGGTAGTGCAGGATCATAAGATCTGATGGCCTGGACTTCTGTCACTGCTGCTTTGCTTCTTGCTCCAAAAATAGTCTCCAGAGGAGCCAACACGGGTGGAGAAGAGGCGTAACAGTTGAGTTTCTGGAGTCACTTACCTCTTCTTCAGCCAGAGCAGCTTTTTTTTTTCCTCCTTTTTCCTCCAGTTGCATAATTCTCATTTGTGGGCTGCTAGGTGGCAATCATTCTTTAAAGGGCCCTTGTTACAATTTAATCTGCCCAATCCACTCTCCCTACTTCACTCTATGGATTTTCCTGTTCTAAACATTGCAAGTTAATGGAATCATACAACTTGTGGCCTTTTGTGTGTGACTTTTATCAAGGTTCATTTTTGTTGTAGCATATCCAAGTACTTAATTACGTTTTATGGCTAAGTAATATTCCACTGTGGACATACAGCACATTTCATTTCTTCACGTATGAATTGGTAGGACATTGGACTGTTTTCCACTGGGGCTAGTATGAACATTCATCTACATGTGTACAGGCTTTGTGTAGGCATATGTCTTCAATGCTCTTGGGTAGATAAATACAAGGGAAATTATTGGATCAGGTGGGAACACTTTTTGAGGAACTATTAAAACTGCTTTGCAAGGTACTATACCATTTTACTTTCCCACCAGCAGTGTTGAAGGATTCTGGTATCTCCACTTGCTGCTAGCACTTCGTTATCTTTTTAATTACAGCCATCCTGGTGGCTGTAAAGTGTTACCTCATTATGGTTTTTATTGTGCTTTTCCCTGATGTCTCATGATGTTGAGCATCTTTTCATTTGCTTATTGGCCATTTGTATATCTTTGGAGAAATGTCTATTCAGGTCTTTTTCCCATTTTAAATTGAGTTATTTGTTTCTATTATAAAGTTACAATTTTTTTCTATGCTATGGAGATAAGTTGTTTATCAGAAATATGATTGGTAAATAATTTTCTTCCATTGTGTAGACTATCTTCATTTCCTTGATAGCATCATTCGAAGCACAGAAGTTTCTGATTTTGGTGCAGTATACTTTATCTAATTTTTTCTTTTTGTGCTTGTGCTTTGTTTCTTTCTTTTTTTTTTTTTTTAAGATTTTATTTATTTATTTGAGAGGCAGAGTTACAGACGGAGATTGAAAGACAGAGAGAAAGGTCTACCATTTGCTGGTTCACTCCCCAAGGAGCCAAGAGCTTCTGCTGGGTCTCTCACACAGGTGCAGGAGCCCAAGCACTTAGGCCATCTTCCACTGCTTTTCCAGGCCAAAGCAGAGAGCTGGATTGAAGAGGGGTGCCTGTATGGGATGCTGGCGCTGCAGGTGGAGGCTTAGGCTATTTCCCACAGCGCTGGCCCTTGTACTTTTTTTGTTTTTAAAGATTGATTTATTTATTTGAAAGAGTTATATAGAGAAAGAGAGAGACAGAGGGAGTTATCTTCTATCCGCTGGTTTGTTCCCCAGTTAGCTGCAGCAGCCAGCTGAAGTCAGGAGCTTTTTCGAGGTCTCCCGTGTGGGTGACCAGGGTTGTATGTGCTTGGGCCATCTTCTGCTACTTTCCCAGGCACAGTAACAGGGAGCTGGATTGGAAGTGGAACTGGAGCCCTTATGGTATGCTGGTGTTGCAGGTGGTAGCTTAACCTGCTATGTGACTATGCTGGCCCCCTTTTTCTTGTGCTTTTGGTTTTTAGTTTTAAGAAATCATTGGGGCTGGCGCTGTGGCACAGCGGGTTAATGCCCTGGCTTGAAGTGCTGGCATCCCACGTGGGCGCCGGTTCAAGACCCGGCTGCTCCACTTCCATCCAGCTCTCTGGTGTGGCCTGGGAAAGCAGTAGAAGATGGCTCAAGTGTTCGGACCCCTGCACCTGCCAGGGAGACCCGGAAGAAGCTCCTGGCTTGAATCAGCTCAGCGCGGGCGGTTGCGGACAACTGGGGAGTGAACCATCAGATGGAAGACCTCTCTCTCTCTGCCTATCCTCTCTCTGTGTAACTCTTTCAAATAAATAAATAAATCTTAAAAAGAAAAAAAAAAAAAAAGAAATTGTTGCCCAGTCCAGTGCTGTGATGATTTCTGTGTATTTCATTTAGGGAGAGTTGTTTTTTTTTTTTTTTTTTTTGTAATTTGAGAAGCAGAGACAGGGTTGGGGTAAGGGGGACCCTCATCCTCTAGTTCATTGCCTAAATGCTTGGAATGTTTTGGACTGGGTTGGGGGCTGGAACCAAGAACTGGGAACACAATCCATGTCTTTTGGGTGGCCAATTACTTGAACTACCACCTCTGCTTTCCAGGGTCTGTGTCAGTGGGAATTTGGAGTCAGGTATTTGATATGGGACATAAGCATCTTTTAACTACTAGGCTCAATGCCTACTCCAGGAGTTTTATATGGAGATCATTTTAGCTTTTACATTTATAGGTTGTTGATCAGTGTTAAGTAAGTTTTTGTATGTGGTATACAGTGGGGTCCAGTTTATTTTGCATATGGAAATCTAGTTTTCTTTATACTGTTAGAAAGCCTTCCTTTCTCCATTGCATGCATGCATTGTCTTGATAATTTGTTTTCAGGTACCTAGTTTAAAGAATTAAGGTTAAAATATGATGTGGAATTAAAGTGTAACGTAGTTCAGACTGTCATATTAATACTCATTTTGATCCATTAGTAACATCTTTCTCCTAGACTTTTTGGAAATATGGTTTGAAATACAGACTTTCCGTGGATGAGCTTTTTGTGAGAATAATATAAAACTAGTATATACATTTAGAGCTCTTCATTTGGTTACTCACACAGGTCAGATTATGTCACAGAAGGTACTTTAAAAAAATGCATTAGCACTGGGATTAATGGTTATCTACAGTATGACTTTGGACAAATTATTTGACCTTTTCGCTAAT